TGCCCCTGCCTCCAAGTTAATGTGGAAGGTGGAGTCACCTGGTGGTGATCTCCCAATCAGTTCCCACCAAGGCTGGCCAGACCCTGGGTGAATACCAATCAGGAGGGTCCTTCTTGCCTGGTTGTGGACATCATCTATATGCCCACCCTCATTCAGGGCTGGGGGTTTAACCCCAGCACTTCACACTCCCACTTCATCTCGTGTCATCTGCTAATTTACTGAGGGTGCATTCGATCCCCTCATCCAGGTCATCGATAAAAGATATTAAACAAGACTGGCCCCAATACTGAGCCCTGAGGGTCATCGCTCATGGCTGTTCGCCAACTGGATTTAACTCCATTCCCCCGATAAAAGATATTAAACAAGACTGGCCCCAATACTGAGCCCTGAGGGTCATCGCTCATGGCTGTTCGCCAACTGGATTTAACTCCATTCCCCACAGCTCTCTGGGCTTGGTCATCCAGCCAATTTTTAACCCAGCCAAGAGTCCACCTGTCTAGGCCATGAGCTGCCAGCTTCTCCAAGCAGAATGCTGTGGGAGACGGTGTCAAATGCCTTCCTGAAGTCCAGGTAGGCAACATTCACTGCTTTTCTTTCATCTACTAGATGGGTCACCTGATCGTAGGAGATCAGATTTCTGAAGAACAGAAACATCATGCCTTGGCACTGATTTAAAAAGACCTTTTGACGTGTGCTTGGAAGTGGGCTGGCATCAGCTCCCTCCGCAGCCAGAGGCCTGTGCTACCTGAGCCATCCCCTATCCTCTCTTCCTGGCTACAGGCTGGGAGTTGACGTACAGAGATGCCTGGCCTCTCACTGTGACCTCAGGAGCCAGGCTTCGAGGACAGGCACAGCAGCAGCACTTCCCATGCAGAAAAACATGTGTGGGCTTGCAAGAGACAACAAAGGTCCTGATGCTGCAAGTGTTCTCTGAACCAAGGCCCAGTACCATCCGTCGCCCGCTGAGCACAGCAGCGATGCAGCCACGGAGCACCCGTCCCCACACAGTGCTGTGTGCCCTGACACAAGCCCAGGGACACCCCATTCTCCGGTGAAATGAGCATGACACGTGCACTGTTTCTCTTTTAATGGCTGTGGTGCTGTTCCTTCACCGCAGGCACTGCTGGCACAGAGGTCAGAGGCACAGGACTGGTCTGTGAAGCTTTTCCAGGGGTTTCCTCACTGCCAGCACCACTGACATGCTGCTGCAGAGGTGAGGAGGCATAGGACTGGTCCTCAGGGCTTCTCCACGGGAAGGGAACAGCAGCTCCTGTCGAGTGCCAGAGTGGGGCTCTGGCAATCACAGCACCAGCTCATGGGGCATGGGCTCCCCTCGCAGCCCAGCCAGCAGGTTATTGGCTGCCAGCACTGCCATGGTGCTCCTCGTGGCGTATGTGGCACTCCCAACATGTGGCAGGATCACTGCAGAAGACAGGGAGGGTTACTTGCTCATTTCTTACCTTTGCTGACCTCTTACAGCTTCTTTCAGGGGTCTTCCCATGGCATGGGCAGCATGGGTCCTGTGCCAGCTGCTGGTCCACCAGGAGCTGACACCAGACATGGAGCATGAAACAAAACCATCCGTCACTGAGGGATGGAAAAGACATCTGAGAAATGGCTGAGCTACTTTTTAAGTACTCTGGGCCAAAGTCAGCCAAGAGTCGTTCCTCCTTTCTGTGTTCAGGCTTGGTACTCACCCTCCTGCACGAACTCAGAGCTGGTAATAGAGGTGAAACACTATCCCTGTGGCAGATGAACATGCAGTGAAATTTGCATGCTGTTTCCCAGTTGCCACACAGCTTTGGGAGGTTCTGCTCACTGACAGGCACAAAGCAACACATATCCAGGCAAGAGCCTGGAGACTGTGCTGAAACACAGTGGCTTACAGACCCCTGAGGAACATGTGGAGGTGAAAAGCAAAAGAGCTGCAACACAGCCAGGACAGGGGCTTTTATCCACCTATGTGAAAAGACTCCGTGTTTATACAATGCAAAGGAACAAACCAAAGCTGCTTTAATGGTAAGTTATTTCACCATTAGTATTGGAGAGTACTTGCCCAAGGCATGGATAAAAGCCTGGGCTGCAGTCTGTTTGTTCTATAGCCGAGGGCATCTATGGGCAGAGCAGAATACTGAACACTTGACATGCTTCTGCCTCGGGGGAGGTTTTCCCATGGACTGTGAGGCCACATAGGGCCTTTCTCCCCCAGTCGAGAAACGGCTTGGGTTCCCTGTGTGCTGTGAAAGAAATGTCAACATTTCCTCCTCCTATGCTTATGCCCCCTGTTCCTCCAGCTGCTGACACTATTTGGTAGTGTTGGATGAAATCTGAATAGTTTCAGAATCATCAAAGCCTCATTTCTGTGAAAATAATATGTATGCATTTATTTTTGTCTTGCTTGGTATTGTTCCAGAGCTCTAAGATCGCTGAAATCCTGCAACTACTTCCAGAAAGTCTCTGATTTTATTATTTCTCACACTATCTGCTGTAGGAATCAAAGCAAACAAATAAAAAATAGCTTTTAGCAAAAAGATAATCAAAGCAACAGCTGTGAACTTGTATTTCAGAAATGGACATTCAGTCTTGGACAGTTAAAAATATTCATGGATGTCTCTACAGTTTCTTTTTGGCACAGACTTTTCCTACCCCAAACCCCTCCTTCCTGGGGAGAGGACTGATCCTGCTGCCGCCAGCACAGCTGCTCTGGTACTTTGCACAGGCCAGTGAAGATGCACACACCAGATCTCATCCTCGGGGTGCAGCTTGAGTGGCCATGGCACTCAACCACACAAGAGGAAGGTGCTCCAGCCTGGCTCATGTCTTCTGCTGATAACTTGCATGATACACAATATTATCATTAATGGTCAGACCAGCAGCTGAGCTCCTCCCTCTGCTCCCACCTCACCCCCCAGAGACCCAAAGTGCCAGACAACCAGAGCAGGAACAGGTCGAAGCGCTCACCCACCACAGGGGACGTGAAGAAGGGAGCAGCCAGGTGAGGAGCCAGCTGTGGGAGATGGGAGCAGCCCGGCCAGGAGCCCAGTTCTG